TAATAATAATAATAATAATAATAATAATAATAATAATAATAATAATATATGCAAAGCAGTCCCTCGTCAAACATACCTGGAATATTTCCATTTCAAATAAGAATAGTTATCTTCAGCAGTGATATAGACCACTGTTCTTAATTTGTATATAACCCTGTATGAAATCTGATGAAAATAAAACATTTTCTTATGGCATCACAAGAAAAAAATCACTTCTTAAATTTTATAAATATGTAAGTATAAGAAGCAGCCTTAGGAAATGGCATGTGTGGTAAATCGCTGCAAGTGCAAATAAAGCTGCTTCAAAAGTCTTCATTAAACTAACCCATATTTTGTACCATTTTTGTGAGGTACAAATTAAGAAAATTGTTTTGACCAATCGGAAGATGACATTGTGTTTCTCAAAATTGGAATCTGTGGATCTGTGTCGTAAGTGATAACATCACAAAGCAAACAGTGATATCCTTATGTCAGCTAGCATGCTTGACTTAAAGGGTCAAGTAAGATAGTTTAGGAAAATTAGGTGGTTTTGGAAGTAAGATAGCATTTTTAAAACTTGAGAATAGAACTTGGTTAATCTCTTCATTTAACCAACTTTTAAGATTCTTTTGTCTTTTTTAAAGCATACACTTGCTGAAACCTGGGTTCAGAAAACATCAGAACTGAATACAGACCATCAGTATTTCTGTCGCACTCATTTGGGGCATCTTCTGAATCCTGGAGATCTTGTATTGGGGTTTGTAATGTTCTTTACTGTTTCTGGCTAATGCACAGTTCAGTTTTGCATACTTTAAAAAATGGCAGTAGTTGCTTGTCACTTAAAGTCTAATAGCTTTGTTCACTGATGCTGATTTGAACTGGTTTTTCCAAACTTTGGGTATCTGGATCTGTGGGCATATAATGACTTTAATACAGGACAAGTTAGACACTAGCAGTTGGGTATAGGAGGTTGTTTTCCTTTGTAGTTGGCTTATTTTAGTGGGTTGCAGTGGGCATTTGAATAGGACAGCTGGTGAAAATACCGATTAGGAGAAAGATGAGAAACTTGAAAAGACAACCACTGCAAATTACAAGGTGTGGTGACCATGTGCCCACCACCTCCCTTGGTATAAGACAGACAGACTCCTAGCACTCAACCTTGAAAGTGTAGTTCTTCAAAGAACATCTTGTAACAAATTTCTTAAGCTAGTCTGTAGCTCTGCAAATTTTCCAATAATAGTGAGTGGCTCTACAATTAAGGACATAAAACAAAAGCCATGCTGAATCAGACCATTCCAGGACCAGCAATCTGTTCACACTGTGGCAAACCAGCTGCCTCTAGGATGGGTACAAGAGTTCCATATACCTAAGAGTCTCAGCAACTAGTGTATGCAGACAAGCTGCCTCTGATAACAAAGACAGCAAGGCTAATAGCCATTGATAATGTTCTTCTCCATGAATTTGTCCAATCTCCTTTTAAAGCCATTCAAATTGGTGGCCATCACTACTTCCCATCAAAGTAAATTCCATAGCTTAACTATGTTTTGTGTGAAGAAGTACTTGTAATATGGCCTGACTCCCACCAAACAGCTTCATGGGAGATTCAGCTTTCTGCTATTATAGATATATATTATAACTGTGAAAAATGTGTCTTCTCTATTTTTAGCCCAGTCAGGTTAATAGCCAGTCCCATTACATTATCTGGGACTCTACACTGAAGGAGTTTGTTCTTTAACTCCCTTTACAGTAGATTTTCAGGCTTTTCATTGTGCCTTGCTTTCAGGTTTGGAAAAGAGTGACAATTCATTTAGGCAGTGCCATGCTCAAAATTGTCAGATGCTTATTGATTTCTTGTTATTGCAACAAGATAATATAGGAGTTATTGGCCAACCAGTTCTTTACTCTTTACAAAATGATTGATAATAATCTTTGTTTACACCAAGCTTCTACAAAAACCCTATGTGAGATGTAACAAGATTCAGTCCTTTGTTCTTGTTAATAGGAGGCAGAATGAGCCAAGCCAAAATGTCTGGACCTGCTCTATTAAAGTTTCTAGATAGGTTACAAAATATCTCAAACCAAGCTCTTAAAATATGTGTGTTGATGTAATAATAGAATGGAATTAAAATCCACTCAGTACTTCAAGACAGCTCCTGTAGGATTATTTAACAATGGAAACCATGATACTGTTGTTGGACAGAAAAAATTTTTCTAGGCAGTTGTCCACAAAGAATGGGTTACATCAGGTGTCACTAACCTTTTTGAACCCCTAATGACATTCCAGAATTTGAGAAACTGCCACCATGGTTTCCATGGTAGATGTGGCTAGGGGGCCTGACTACTCAAAAGAGATGCGGGTCCAGGGGAAAAAATCACACAGCTAGAGACAGGGAAAGAGGGTCAAAAAGCAAGGCAGAGGGGTACAGGAGAGATACTAAATAGCTATGATCTAGGAGGGGGAGAAATGTAGGGGGCAGTTTACATACACCTTTAATTTGGTTCCAGATCTCACAGCTAACATTTCTCATGTATTAACAAAGCTAATTGCAGGTGGTCAATGCTTGCCTTTCCTCCTTTATAATTTAGCAGGTGCTATTACCAGTTTTATCAGCATCCCGATTCTTAATTTTTTGTGTGGTCCCCATATCTAAGTAAGACTGCAGTAGGTTCTAATGGAATTATACCTATTTTATGTATCAACTTAAATGGATGTGCTTAGTGGATTCTGATTTGGGGATACGACTTCAAGCTCCATGCTTCGTTTAGTAATGGTCAGATTTATGTTACAGTAAGATTCCATCTTGCTAGAGTAAGATGTCATTTGCTTAAAAGATAGTTACCTGCTTTTATTCAAAGAAGATAAATGTGGTACTGAAGGCTATATTTTAGCCCACCTCAGTACCTTTTATTTGTGTCCCTGTCTCAAACCATTTGGCAGTGAAGGAAGCATTCTTTTCCACATATGAAAGGCCTTAGTATCAAGGTGACCCTTTTTCACAGAATAAACCATTTTGCAATGATTTTCAAACCCAGAAAAATATATTAATTTGTGTGTATGTGCCTAGAGTCTTGAGTCAGATGGCTTAGAGCATTGGAAGTTATGTTAACTATCTCCTGTTATTTATACAATATATGCAACCAGTATATCCATATATCCGTTACTAGTTAGACTTAATTATTCAGCAACAATTATGTGACTAGTGTTTGTTTATTGCTTTTATATACTGTTCAATGGCCACACTTGGCTCCCAGAACAGTTTACAAAAAAGCAGTATTAAAATAGATGTTCATAATTATATAACAATTATTACAATAAACATAATTACAGAGGGCCATTTTAAATAAATTAAAAAATCTTTTTTAAAAAGTATCTAAAAATCTCTTGGCTGCCAGCCTACCAACCTCTTGTCCTCATGGCTACACATCATAACTCTGCTTGACTTAACAAATGTAAATCAATAAATTCAAATAATTAATTTCTTAAATACTACAAAAATTAAATCAATAACTCAGAAATAAAAATAGCAAAATACCTAAACCATAAAAGTGGTTTTTCCACAGCAGTCAGCATTCTCTAAAATACAAAAGTAAAACATTCTAACCATTAAATCACTGAAAAAAGTCAAAAGGTCTTGGCCTGGTGCCAAAAATTAATATTCAGTCCAGAACTTTGTCACAGGAGGAATTTCTTAATCTAGATGAAGCAAGTGGCTCAAGAATAGTTTGATCATATACCAGTTCCAGAGTTCTTAGCTGGCATGGTTAGTCAATGCATGAAAGCTTTCTATGGACTACTGACTTGAAAATATCTCATTCTGCTGCTTTTCATTGTGCCATCTGCTTCTGTTTTGAGAAGATAGGTATAAATCTTCAGAAGATCTCTTTGGAGATCTTGTTGACTGAGTTCTGTCATATATAACACACCATTGGAGATCCTCAGCAAAAGCTAAAGTGGGCATTAGCTTTTGGTGAGTTTTTTGAAGAAGGATTTGGGAGAGAAGGATCTTTGCTTCTTTTCAGAAGGTAGTAAAATCCTTCTCAACCTTGAGTTCTCACAAGTTGGGGTTCTTGTTAGCATTGTGGTAACTTTGTTATATTTAATGTTTATAAATATACATTGCTTTTCAAAATAGTCATTCCTGCAACAGAAAACAATGATTGCTTTTGTTTTTAATGTTGTTCTTCATTCTGCTTTGCTGTTTGTTTTAGAAAATGACAACAGTATGAATGTTTAGACAGATGTCCTACAACTCTTAGCATTCCCCAGCCAGCCAGTTATTGGACTTTTCCTACCTAAACATTCCTAGAATTACACCCTAAGAATTATAGTAAATTTGTAGTTAACCTTGTGCTATCCATATTTTTGTTTTAGATTTGATTTGGTCAACTGCAATCTAAATGACGAATTTGCGAACAAGATGAACCCTCATATTATTCCTGATGTGGTAAGGTTCAAAAATGTCTTCCTTTAAACATTTAGGTAGTGTTCAAGCAAAGTTAAATAACATTATAAGTGGACTGCACTTCAGAAATCTAATGTCCTGCTCTGTAGTATAAATATTCGTGATCAATGCTGAGGCTGATAGGAATTGAAATTACAGATACCACATGAAAAGTCATACAAACAATCATTTTACTTTCCTCTCTACCTAGACTTTTTGTGACTGTGCCCATGCTTCCTCGCTTTATTTTACACAGTTTCACACACTATCTCTTCTTTTGCATTCCTCTATTGATTCCTTTATCTCTCCATGGTGCCTAAGTAAGCCTTTCGGAAAACACACTAATGCCCCCTTAATTTACATCCATTTGTTTCTTCCATGATTAGAATTCAAGGTAGCATTTCATAGAATTCTTAGATAATTTTGCATGTTGATATTGGCCATTTGCCAACCTGCTTTGCTTCATGTAAGTTGCAGCTACTTTTGCCTTCAGTTCATGTCCTGGAGCACTGCTGTTTGTGTCTTCTCTAGCTCATATGTTGCTACTCTGATTGTAAACTCAGTCATCCTTGGCCAGCAAAGCACAGGTCAGCATCCTCTGTGTTTTTTGCAAAACTGAAATGAAGACCCTGTGAATCCTAACTAAGCCAGCAAGACTCTTACCTCCCACCTCTTCTAGTGTCATGCATAGTTTTACCAGCAGAGGTAGGAAAGTGTTGGAATTACATATGCTTAGTTTACACTTTGCCAACATGGGCTGTTTGGGGCTTACTACAGCTCCACTCACCCATCCTTGAGATCACTGCCCAACATTTTTTTATAATTACTTTTAATGCAGGTGTTCAGCTTCAGTCCCTTGGCAGAAGTCCCTCCTTTGAAATTGGCCCAGCTGAGATGTTAGTCTGCACAGTCATATGATTGTGAATGATCATAGTCTCTTAATCTCCTCTGCTCTTCCTAGTTCTTAATATACAGGGATAGCAAGGTGGTTTTAATTTTACTCATCTTCATAAGATGTTCTGAGGCAGGGGTAGGGAAGCTGAAAAGTAGAATAAAACTACTTTAAATATTCAAATGCTAAATGTAGTAGCTGGGGAAGTAATGATTGCTTCATTTTGTACAGCAGAAAACATGGCTCACTTCCATACTGCCTCTTGTTATGAACTTTCACAAAACATCATCTTTTGCTCTTCCATCCATAGGTTTTGATTAAGAAAAGCTATGACCGCAGTAAACGTCAGCGTCGCCGGAACTGGAAACTAAGAGAATTGGAAAGAGACAGAGAGGGCATGGATACAGCTGATGAAAGGTTCGGGTTTTTTTCTATTCTCTGTTTTCCCACACCTGTTTGATCAACCAGTTCAGACTTTCGTGAACAAAATTCAGTGGCCAAGCAAAGACCTGTATTTGGAATCTAAACTAATGCTGAGTTGCTAATGCTACAGTAATCTGTGCATACCACACATCCCAAGAAGTAAGCATCACGGCATGCTTTTTTGTCAGCAAGGTCATGCATAGATTAATCCTGTGCCTCAGCCTGTTATCTATTACCTGCCATAAACTGAGCAGCTTGGATGCATGCTTACCATTAAGCTGGTCTTTTAAGGAAATTTGGTTTCAGTGTAAAAGAACAGAATGACCTTTCCAGTAAGGAGTTTTCTGACATAAGCTCATGGACTGAAAATTGAGGAGAGAAATAGATGCGTTTTAGGCTCAATTTACTGTTATGTGATAGATCTGTGGTTGCATATCCTGAGGGAGAGTAGGATTACTTCTACTCAAGCAGATGCTAAGGGTGCCACCTTTGATCAGAGCAGTATTAGGAGAGGGTGCAGCTAACACCCTTTTCCCCCACATGTTTTATGAAATTACCCCCTTGGCCAGCTGCTATTTATCTGAATTCAGATCATCCTTATTCTATTAGATTTCAGAACAGTGTGCAACTTGAAATGTATACAAAATAAAGTAACCCATTAAACAATTAGAACAGCCATTGTTAGGCCTACAGTAGAAGAAAGAAAGGTGAGTGTCTCTTCAGCCATGCATCTAAGAACAGCAGGCAGGGGCACAACTTAGACTATTAAAGCCGGATGTGCCGGTATGAGTTAAATTCTGAAGAGATTTGATCTTAAATTATTGTCTCAGTCTTCAACACAGTCTAATCCTGAATTCTTGAAACAACCTTGTACTATGCTAGCATCTATCTTCCAAAGGAGTTGTGTATCTGTATAACAGCTACAGGACTGTCCTTCGTGCTTAATGCTTCTCTATACAAGATTTAAGCACACGCGCGCGCGCACCCACACACACACACACACACACACACACACACACACACAGGGTGGGGGGTACCTAGAATATGCTTAATTCCTAAGAAAATAGAATTGCTGATGTTATTTCTAATATGATACTTTTATAGAGACTACCAGGACTTCCTAGAAGATCTAGAAGAAGATGAGACAATTAGAAAGAATATTAATATTTACAAAAGTAAGTTTTCAACCTGGAAGAGTTGACTTTGTTTTTACATATTTAATATTCAGAAATAATGCATCTCTACAGTCAAGTCTGTGAAATCAGATGAGTGTTAGCCACTTTTTTCTTAAATCAGGGACTTGAAAACTAACACATATTTGCTAGTAACATGTTTCCTATTGTATGTCTACTGAACTCTTTGTAATTACTGGAGGCTAAACAGTGAAGCTGAGCCCTTAGCACAGGTGCCTGCAACTTTTGGACCTCCCGATGCTTTGGCCAACAATTCCCATCTTTCTTATTCTAGGCGAACATGCTAACCCCAGTCCTTTCCCCCTTTCCAAACATCTTTTGTACATGACAAAGCAGGAGTGGTAAATGCTTTCTCCACACACACACACCAGGTTACAAAATAGGGTTTGGGTTCAGGCCTAGATTAAATGAGCATCTTCCAGCTCACTGAGCCCCCACCCTCACTAGTCTTGACTGTTGTTCTGTAAAGAAGAGGACAGTCCCAATCATTTATAGCCTTGTGGTTTCCCAACTTAGAGCTGAGTAAAGCATTGTTTGGTAGCAATGGGGCCACTAATGGGGGTAATTTCTACAGATATGGATACTTCATCTATGTGGAGAAACAATTGTGCAGCTTGATTGTTCCAGGGAGGATTCCAGACACTAGATGGTCAATGGCGGCGCATCTGCAATTGCCGTATATTGCCAGGGAACTCCAACAGCATCAGGACATAGCACTAGCAGCAGCATTAAGTATGTCAGATGATCCTTCCCCCCCCCCCCTCAGAGCAGGAATGTGTGAGCCAATTCTGCAGGGATATAGTTATGATTAAAGGAAAAGATTTCATCTGGTTCTTAGTAATCCTGAGTATCATGCTATAGTCGTGTGCTTTAGTACTGCACTGGGTTGGATACAGCACAAATGACTTACCAGCCCTGAATTTGCACAATATTGCTATTCCATAAAAGCAGGTGGGGAGGAAGGTGTCTAGCCCTATTGGGTGGATGAAAAATCTTTGAAAAATACACATTTATTGTGGGTTTCCCATTGTGTAAATATGTACCCCCACAGGCTTTTGCAGTTGGTGCATTTTGTATAATGTAGAGTCTTGTGATTTGATTCTGTGGATTTGTTTGTTGTTGTTGTAGAAACAGCCATTCCAGTGGAAAGTGACACTGATGATGAGGGCATTCCCCGGATCAGTCTTGCTGAAATGTTGGAAGATCTTCAGATATCTCAAGATGCTACTGGTGGAGAGGGCGCTGATATGTTGACAGAATAAGCTAGCAGATCTTGTCAATGTGTGCATTCTGCTGTAGCAATATTACAGCAGGGGTGGGCCTGGAAGGCCACAACTCATATAATCCCTCAGCACTGACTGTGTTAGCTAAGGCTGATGGAAGTTGTACTCCAAAAAATTGAAAGACCTCAAGTTGCCCACGCCTATATTGTACGGGCCTTACATGCAAATAGACATTTAATACAATTTAAACAAAGATTTGATAATATATCACTATTAAAAGATCATACATGACTAATAAACTGGTAAACCTGGAAAATTTCTGGAAGGTGTGTGATTATATGTCTCGCTCTCTCATTCTATCACACTGTATGTGTGTGCTTGCATAACACTGTATATACTTCCATAATATCTGTACTCAGGACTTAGGGCTATTTATGTTTTTTGACGGCTGTTCCTAGTAAGATTGAAAATGTTCTGACATACTTTAACCTACTTTTTAGTTAGAAGGGTACTTTAAACAACTATGTGAAGCTTCATCAATCCAGGAAGTGAAGAATGTAAAAAATCTGGCTGGGGCTTATCTTCCTAGAATGTTTTACTATGATTTAACTGCCCAGAATATAGACTGTAGAATATAATTTAAGATGCCTGTGGCATAGCTGGCAGCCAGTTCCTTTCAGCTGGCTTATTTCTCTCTCTCTCTTGATCACTGGCTGCATGTTCAGGATGTCTCCTGGTGTTTCCTTGCTCCTGTTGAGGCAAGTTAGATTATCCTGTGAAGAGTTCAGGCTCAGGAGATCTACTTTGGCACGTGTGTTCTTTTGCACAGCTAGTTTCAGTAGAGAGGGCTGATCCATGAGATACAAAATGCCATGAATAGAGTTAGCAGGTCATGGGGATCAGGTGCAGCTCCTGAATCTGGATAAGGCTGCTGGATCAGAATGACTGACTCTTCAAACCTAGTTCATGTCTATAGCTGAAAAGTTTGAGAAAATTTCCCCATGGACCTGGGATCAATATATGACCAGTCCTACTGTGTTGCTTTTCTACAAGGTGCTGCCCATTACATTGAGCAAAGATATCTAAGAAACTTGCTCTATACCTTCATGGAAATGTTTGTAACAGTCACTGAACTATTAGCAGCATTTTCAAAACTAATTTTAGTATACAAATTAGCATAAAACAAGTTATGCAGAAGGTACTGGATATTTTCTTAAAGGCATTTGTGATGGCTACAAAAGTCTGCTTTCCTAGTCATAAATATAGGGGGATCATTTTAAGTTATAGAGTGACAGAATTAAAATGTTTTCAGAGATTTGTATCCAAACATGTTAATTTTAAATATTTGATCCAACTTTAATGGAGCTTCTCTCATACAGAGCTGCAATACAATATTTCCCTGGGGAAAGGAGTAACAATTTCTGCGCTACCTCCGAAGTTACAATCCAGCACATTTGAGGGGGAAAGCTGCCCAAAGTGTTACTTCATTATACAATCTGAGAGAATTCTGATTTGTCACAATAAACTGGCATTGCTACAGCAGGATTACATGCCTTCAGTAAAACTTGTGTTTCTCAGAGAAATTAATAGAAAGTATTCCTGTTGATGCTTTTTTGGTTTGTTCTTTCTTCGTGTGTGCTCTAGCTGATCTTTAGATGCTATTTTCATCATTTCTTGAATTGATTTTCATATGTCCGGCCACAGCTTTTAAGAATATTTATCCATGATTACATATACTGGTAAATTGAGCAATGGTATTTCATAACTGCTTATTTGCATTACTCTTGGGTAGCATAACACCTGTGGAAAGTCCATTTAGAAAGACACCTTTTGAAATCCACTTACTTGTCCATGACTCAACAGTACTGCATGTGCAGCATACTGGTTACCACATCTTTGTTCCCAATATGGCCCCAACACTTTTTTCTCACTAATCCTACCCTGCCCATATTCTTCCCACATGTATGTGTTCCCAGAGCATCATGGGATGCATAAGAAAAGCAAGAACGATAGTTCATTTTTGGACCTATGGATAACCCTCTTGCTGTAGGGCATGCCCTCTATCCCACGTGTTGTTTCACTGTTCCAAGAACAGTCATCTCCCGTTTTTCCAGGTATTAAGCAAGCCCAGCTTGTTGAACAAATTGCGAGGCAGTAGCAACCTGCACATATGGGAGAAAGGCAACGGCGGTGGCTTGCTCCCTCAGAGACCATCTCCAAGTGAGCAAGTCATCCCCTCCCTGCCCGCTCAGCAAGCATGCACATGGGCGGTGAACGGCGGCACAGGCCGGATGGATGGCCATGGCAGACTGGATCCATCCTGCGGGCCGTAGTTCGAGGATCCACGCTGTAGATTGTAAATCCAAATAGTTTACTGTCGGTATCACTTGTATGTCATGCGTAACTGAAGTAGCTAATTCAGTCCTTGCATCCCCGGAGAGGTTTGCCTGTCACCGAGTTGATATTCTTTTTGGCGCCAGGTTGAAACCTTTTTATTTAACTGTTATTTTAAAAACTAATGTTAATGTTTAACAGTCACTTTTTATTTACCTTATATTTTTTGGTTAATTGTTATTTATTATACCAAGATGTTTGGTTTGTTTTAACAATTGTAAGATGTCCTGAGATGCCAAGCATAAGGGACAGCCTGTATAAGTTTTAAATAAATTCAAGTAAAGTTACTTGCTTACAAATCAGGTCTTTATAAACAGAATTGCAATGAAATGTTCCAAAATCATTCTTAAGAATAAATGATTTTTCATGGCCCTACCTAGGTCCAGTTAGTATTATTTATCTGCGACAATTTCATGATACAATACACATTAGGTATTGTATTAGGTGGTCCATCAGAAAATAAAAGGGACACTACCTTTTACTTCAGCAAGCTAGTTAAATAACTGATGTTGAATGTCAGTCATGGAAATCTACCTCTGTATCCGATGTGTGACATTTGGAGACTTGGTAGTCTAAATTAACTAAGTGAAACTGAATAGTTTGGTGGGACAGCATGTGGTTGTTTCAATCCCCGTATTTCCTAGCTGTTTAAATTTACGTTGTCCTGAGAAAAGCCCAACTGAGACCAGTGGGTTGACTCCACATTGGTAACCTTTGAAATGCAGTGAATCCAGAAAATCTTTTATTCATCTCTTAGTTTAGAAAAATGCAGTATCAATTTTATTACATTTATTTTCTAGCTTTTCTCCTGAGTGTTTGTAGCCTTCCAGCAGATGTCCTTCATGCTATGTGTGCATATAGAATAACAATTCATTTCCTTCTATAGATGACAAGTATTTAGAAAAGATAAAGCACTGTGTGCTTGGCACTGATCAAAATAGCTTATGTAATTAGGAAACCGTTGTAAAGATATAATTAGTATTCCAAAAAGAGCTGAAGCCTGCATTCTAGTTAGAAAATCAATATCTTCCATGTAGCCTAAGTGCCTGACTCTGCCTAATCTTGGAAGCTAAGCAAGTTCAGGCCTGGGCAGAAGTGGGATGGGTGACTTGCGTGTATGACTCTATGATTATTGCTGTCAACTCCCTAGAGAGCTTTGGCTATGGGCAATATAAAAATGTAATAATAATAATAATAATAACCCATCAGGAGGACTGGTTTGGGGCCTAGGAATTTAATTCTTTCAGCCATCAAATGCAGCCATGGGACAGCTGCTTTCCATTCAACCAGCTTGGAGGCACCATCTGCGAGACAATGGTATAAACAGCCAAATGTAGAGGTACCAGTGTTGTGGGAAAGCCCCACCAATTGTTATGGAAAATTTTGTGGCAGGAGTTGTACCCCTTCAATTTTTATTATTAATACAGTCCTTAACTCTTCCTAGATAGCTATATGTAGGTCAAAACAAATAACCAGCCTGTAGGCTTACAGACAATGAATAGAGGCAGTGACACAGGGAGGACAAAGAGGAAATGAAAGGGGAAGAAAGTTAAAATAACAAATGATCAAGCATGTTTTATAGAGCTGCTTGACAAATGTGTTTTTAGTTGCTGAGTGAATCATGAAGCAGACAACTTCTTGTGGCTCAGGGGCCAAATTCAACAGTGGGGACCACATTCCAAGGGTTAAATGGGTAGTTGAAGCTAAAAGGTCCAGAATGCCAACTTGCTATAGGTGGTGGTGGTGGTGATGATGATGATGATGATGATGATGATGATGATGATGCATTTATATCCCACCATTCCTAGAGCTCTTACAGTCCATAATTAGGCAATAGCAGAATCATTTCAACCTTTTAGATTAGGCAGGGGGCAGGGACTGCACAGAAATGGAAGTTGAGGGAAGGGATAAAAAAGGAACCAGGGCTGCCTGAAAAACGGGAAGGCTGAATTTGGCCATGCACCTGAGGTTTTCCACCTGTGATATGAATAGCATAATTAGCAATGTGTTGCAATAAGCCCTGAAACATTGTTACATTAAAGTGAAAGATAATGCAGATATGTAGCATATTTACATACAAGCAATACAGCTGCTAGTTTCTGCTGCCTCTGTCACTTCTTTCCATCTGCAGCACATTGTTGACAATCTAAGATAATCAGTCACTCAAGAAACTTGAGAGAAATGTGTCTCTCATTTTGGAGAGTAGGCTGAAATAAAGGCAACTAGCCTGCTGTTTTCAAGAGGGAAAAATACATGGATAAAATAGAGCATGTGGTTTTGCCAAACAGTCCTCATTATCCACAGCACTTTATAGAAATGGTGGCATCTGAAGCAGCTAGCTTCTGGGAACATGCACATGTAACCAGCTCCACAGTGTCATGGGTCTGCATTTAATGTAGGAAACTCCTGACTCTAAGGCACCTTTCTCCGACATGATGGACACCCTACAAGAACACAAAGACTGGAGAAGCTGGGAGAGGTAAAGAACATTATGGATAAGACATTCAAGGAGTTGATTGTAGTGTCCCAGTCTTATGAAGATAGCTCCACAATAACAAAAAATAAGGACCTTGGGGAAGGAGCCAACAATCCAGGTAAGAGAGATGAGCCCTTAGAAAGGACAAACATGGGGAGGGGGGGTCAAACATTTGGGTGGTAAGGATATGCCTAATGTGAGCTTGTGTTCATGGGACATTCATGACTAACTAGGTTTGTGATGGATATGTAGACCACATGGTGAATTGCCTGTCTGGTGCAAAGGTTACGGATATCACAAACCATTGAGCCAGCCTGTCGTGGAATCATCTGCTATCAACAATAATGACATGGGAAAATATAGTTATGATGTCCTGGAAACCAAATTTAGGATGCTAGATAGGAGACTGTAAGCCAAGACCATCAAGGTGGCTTCCTTTGAATTGC